TGGCTCACCTTACCATCTTAAATTGAAAATTTTCTCAACACCATTTTCCAATGTCTATTACCGACTAGTATTTAACCCATGTTGTTGGCCATAAGTGAAAAAGTTAACAGCTGTGGGTATTATCCATGATCTATAACATAATTATGCAAATTACTCCGACTTAGCTCGGTTAGCTTTTCATGGATGCCGTCAGTCGACTGCTCTGCGTTTCGTTGCATTTTGTTTTATTTATTAATTGAGCTGCGAGCTTATCTTAAACCAATGCCATAATTTTAATTAATGGCAAATGTAGATTATAAATTTTTCATTTTCATTTGCTGGCGAACACCGACAAATCAGAAGTTGAAGTAATTTGTTATAAAACAGGTTCCAACTAATCTACTACTTGTCTATTCTGCAAGTTTGCAATTTCCATAACAAGCAGTCGAACACGCGATTTTTGAATAGGAATAATTTCCATAGTTCAGTGCCGACTTTTTTGTTTTCGTAAAGAAAAAAAAGTTTTTTTATGACTTGATACATTTGTAGATTTAATGAAAATAAATTTAGATAATTAAAGAACAAAATAAAAAAAATCTCCAAAATGCTGGTAATATGGTAAACCATGAATCTTGACGTTATGGTTTCGTACACTTCTAATATCTCCAGCCTCATTTCAAGATCTATACTGCATATGGACGGAAATTATAATTTGTAGTTTATTGGAAAATAATTCTCATTCACTTCGTGGTATGGCATGACAAGCAAAGTATGATTCGTACGGATTCTCTGTAAGTCACACTAGATAACAATGTCGGCGATGCTTTCACGATCTCAGACAATTTGTCACAAATTATATGCTAGCTATCGTAAACCGGGAGTCATTTTAAGTTTGTCCTTCTACTTTATAATATATGCCGAAAGAAGTCTAAACCGATTTAGCTACTTCCGTCTGTCACGCTAGAGACCCCTTCTTATTTATATAGAGCTTTGAAATTTGTCATAAGAATTTGTATTTTGTCTAGGATGATTGGCATTGAGAAAGGTTGTTTCTCGTCGAAAAAATAAAAAAATCTTCATTCGAAAATTTCAAAAAATGTAGTAGATGTTGAAAGTTTGCCTTCTCTACTTAGGTTACTTTGGGAAGTAAACTTTTAAAACGCTGATATGGGTGTTTTCTTTTTTAAAGGTTCAGAGTTTCGTATAGTCCTCATATACTGACAATTTCCGAAAGTTGTAAAGCCATTGAAATTCCAAAAAGTCCAAGAACTTACACCGCAACAGAAAGATAATAGACTCAAAAGAGCTAAAGAGTTGCTTCGCTTGGCCGAAAGTGGTGAACTGCCGAATTGGGTTTTCTCCAATGAGAAAACATTCGTTGTCCAGCAGTTGGTAAGAACAAAATGATCGAGTTTACTTGCCAAAGAAATCAGGTGAAAATGTGGACATTCGGTTGGCCACCAGAACTAAAGGGCCGGCATGGTGATGGTGGGGCCCACACCATAACAGCCGATTGTCGCTCTCCGCTCGTATTGATGGCCACCAAAATATCCGGATACCAATCCGTTGGACTATTGTGTCTGGAGTATTTTAGAAAGCAAGGTTGGCACTAAAAAATACCGAAGTGTTTTATGAGAATTTTAATTATTTAAAATGTTGACCCGTTGTGGGAGAGGTGCCAGAAGAAGTAGCCCGATATTGTCCATCTTCATAATACATCTTGTGTTCATAGAAGTATTGGAATGTTCTGGGTTTGAAAGTAATCGAATGCTCATTTTGCGTTTTATGTGCTTAATGGTTATTCCAAATATACCTCCCCCACAAAGGGGAGGTACTAGAAGGAGTAGTGCGTTCAATCCGTTCTTCATACCAGACCTTGTGTTAGTGGAACCATCGAAATTTGCGAAATTTGAAGATGATCGGACTCTTAGTTCGAATTTTATAAACGTTATAATTATTCAAAATGTTGACCCTTTGTGGGGAAGGTATTAAAAGGAGTGGTACGATATCTACCATCTTCATACCAGTTTTTTCTCAAGTGGAAGTATTGGAATATGTGAAATTTGAAAAGAATGGGATGCTCATTTCGCTTCATGGTTATTCAAAATGTTGACCCCTTGTTGGGGAGGTACCAGAAGGACTATTCCGATAAATCCCATCTTCACACCAGATCTTTTGTTAGTAAAAATATTCAGATTTGAGATCACATTTTATAAGATTTATAATTATTCGAAAATTTGACCCTTTGTGGGGGAGGTGCTTGATGGAGGTGACCTATTGTGTCCATTTTAACATCTGATAGTACTAGATCAGATACTAAAATGGACAAAATTGGCAAAAATATTGGAATGTGCAAAGATTGCACAAAATTGAATGACCTTTCAGACCTACAGTCCAAAACCCTTATTTCTATGAGGCACGTTTTGGCCGTATCAAATGATATATATCCTCTGTAGCCATATGACTGATGGTATAAGCAACACACCATAAATGGTTATGTAAAGTCTCACAACTGCAATAAAAACTTATCGTATTTTAATACTTTTTATTTCGTTCGCCAACCTTCAGTTTCGTAGTTGGAAGTCTGATACGACCTTTTCTGTACTTGGTAATGACGAAAACAAGGTCTGTTGTTTTGTAATTGGTAAAGGAATAATCCATTATTTTCAATCCACTGGTGATGCAGAAGTGGTTTCTTTACATTACCCTTTCCTGGGTTATTCGCCCAATACTACACCCCAATATATATTAAAAATAACTGAAGATACCAATCCAATTGAGCTTTTACGTATTTCGAAGTTGTAAAGTTCGCCATACACATTTTGGGTCTTAAAATTGTGCAAGGCTTAAAATGTATACCCTTTCGAAACTTTGTCTATTATTATGGATTAGGGTGTTTTTGCTGCTTATTTATAAATCGCAGGTATAAAATCTTTTATTTTCTATTTTCAATTCAATTAAAATCTGTAATCGATTTAAAATTTACCACCTTTTTCTGTAATGTAAGCAAGGTTGTGGACACGTGTATTTGATGTAAATATGTACCTATTTTACATTTTGGTTGTTTGTTTGTTTGCACCAGAGAAAAGAAACACACATTTTTTATGAAGCGAATGCGACATAGAATGGAACCAATAGCAGTGGGCAGGTGAGGGGGGGATTAGCCTATCATATGTTCGTTCTACATACCTACATAAACTCGATTAGCTATTTTTTGCTTTGCATCCACAGCGCTCTGCCCGTTTCGTCATTGTTTTTTGTCCGATTTGCTTATCAATGCAACCTAGTTTTTTTCATCGCCCGCGTTTGCTGCAGCACTTTTTTGTCTGCTGCGTCTTTTTTTCCTCCAAAGTGTGGAACATGTCATGGCAAAATGCCGACTTTTTAGTGCTTAGTTCATGGTGTTTATGTATGGCGTTGTCGTTGCTTTTTTACTTATTTCTTTCATCCTACTACCAAACTGCAGCTTGTTAAGTGTTCACATGCTTCAACACACACACACACACTCGCACTCACGCTCATAAGCTCAATCTACTGAATTATGTAGTTATCTATTTTTACATTCAAAATAAATTTCAATAGAGGCGTTAACCAATGAACACTTTTTTATGTTGTTGCTTTAGCCTATCTAACTGCCAGAGTGTTGTTGAAGTTGTTGTTTTTTGTTTAATATTGTAAAGTAATGTTTATTGGAATAGCATAAATAAAGTTTCATGTTATAAATATTTGTGGGGTGGGGTTCTATATGGTTGGCCCCACCGGACTGTAGCTTTTTAAATATTTCAAAAATATATTTTTTAATGGACTATAATTCGGTACAATTATCAGTACACTGCTGCTTATGCGATTTATATATCACTAGTTAGTGCCCGCTCTTCGTCAGGAAGAGGTTCACCTTCTAATTTTAAATTAATCCCAACAGTTCGTGTTAGGACTTTTTATACCCTCCACCATACTATGGAGGGTATATTAACTTTGTCATTCCGTTTGTAAAACCTCGAAATACATACAGGGTTGCCCATATTCGACGAACCCATCTGGCAACGCCATAACTTTTGACAGAGATGTCACATCGCTTAATGACATACCGCGTTTGAAGCGTCAGTCCAAGCAGATTTTTACCATGAACCAATACACGCCACGCGAGCGCTCTGAAATTTACATTCAACAGAAGAATTCAGTTGTGAAAACTCAACGTGCTTTTAAAACATTAAAAAATGTGAGAAGTGCGCCTTCTAAGAACACCATTAATCTCTTTCTAATCCGAAGAGGCCATATTAAAGTCGACCAAGGCGATCGGCCGAGAATATCGCTGCCGTACGAGCCAGTGTTGAGAGGTCCCCAAGAACATCCCAAAAACGCCGTTCTCAGCAGTTGGGCATGGCTCGGTCCACTTCACAACGGATTATTCGCATTGATTTGCATTTGTTCCCGTACAAAATTCAGAGTATATATATATATTCTGGATCAGCGTAAAATTCGAAGTCGATACGACTATGTCCGTCTGTCTGTTGTAATCACGCTGTCTTTCGAACGAATTGATTTAGAAGGCTAAAATTTTGCACACATGCTTATTTTGACAGTAGGCAGGTTAAGTTCGTAAATTGGCCATATAGGTCCACGTTTTCATATAGCCCCCATATAATGGTACCTCCCTATTTTCGGTATTTTGATGATATTAGCAACATTACACACCGGAGCAGTTTCAAATTACGTATTTAGAGTTCGTACAGTCTGTGGCAGAAAATTGTCTATGCAGGTCTAAGTCTTCGTATAGGCCGTATAATCAGTGGATCCCTATATTCCGTATTTTGACGAGTTTAGGTACAATACCCACCGAAATTGTTTGAGACGCGTATTTGAAGTTCGTAATGGATGCTACAGCCTATGACAGAAAATTGTCTATGCAGGTCCAGGTCTTCGTATAGCTCTGATATAACGGTACCTCCCTATATACGGTATTTTAATGATTTTAGCTACATTATTCACCGATTTCAAGTTTCGAATTTGAATATGGTACACTGAGGGAAAAATCCCGTTGCGAAATCAAGCACGTATGTTGTCATTTTCGCAACGACCCGTTGTTATATTTTTCAACAACGGCTGTTGGTGAATTGTGCACGAACGTGCTCAAATTGACACCGAGACGTGGTCAACTTTCGGTACCAACAACAGCCGTGCTTAATTTGTCCATTTGTAATATTGGTAATTGCAGCCGATTACACACGAGTAAAAAATGACAACGGTGGTGCATGATTCACACACGGTCGTTGTCAATATGACACCGGTCGTGTATGAATTATGCACCACCACCTGCATAATGATGCACCACCGTTGTTACTTTGTACACCGACGTGCATGAATCGTACACGATCGTTGCCATTTTAGCAACTACCGTGTATGAATCATGCACCACCGTTGTCATTTTTTTTACTCGTGTGCAATCGGCTGCATATTTACCATTTTTTCCGTGTTATTGAAAGAGAAAGGACGCATTGTGCAAAAAATTTATTGAAAATGAATAATAATTCGCAAGATCCTCAAAATATCATTGGTGAGTTGTTAGAAATCGATGGCAATATTGTTGTGGTTCGCGATACAAACCATTGCAGCAGTCAAGATGCGGAAAACAATGAGGACGATTATATGTTAAGGGAGTTCTTAAAAGGAATAAATATGGAGTCGCTTTTTGAACAATTAAAAGGTAAGTAAATAAAAATGAATTTTTCAGTTAATCAGTGTAATTAACAAAGAATTTTCTTTTTTGTTCTTTTAGCATCACATGTAACATTTCGCAGCTTGCAGTACTTGAAAAAAGAAGATTTAAAGGAAGCAGTGCCACCATTGGGACTGCGTGTTGAATTCAGAGAAAAGCTCTTTGCTTGGAAAAAACGAAAGGTACGTATTATTTGTTTTACAGAGTTGAACTCAGTATTAATATTGTCATAACAATAGCTCGGGATTGATGACGAAACTATGTCAGTTCCATCTAAAATAGGTGAATGGTGGAAACGCAACGAGACACCTGCAAGTACTCCTGGTACTCCCGACACTACAGGTTCGAACTGCTCAAAAGCCAAAGGAATTTTGTCAGAGGTAAGGTAAGAGTAATATTTGTGTAAGCATAGTTAATGTAGTTTTTTTATTTAATATAGGATCTAACGGAATTGTTAACACATACCTCGAAGGGGAAACTAGCGCTTGAATGTAGTAGCGTTAATAAGAAATTAAGTGACGAGCAAAGAGATGATATAATTAATATAATTATTGAAGATATTTTAACCAACAATGTTACTCTTTACACTCAAGACTATATGCGCATATTGGATGAAATTTGTTCCGTTTTTCCTCTTGAAAACGAAATGAGGGTAAGATTAACAATATAAACAACGTATCTGATTATGTAGTTTCTTAACTTATAATATGTCTTTATTTTTAGGATTATTATTACATTTCAAGAAAAGGAAAGAACAACGCAAGCGGAAAACTTTATGCCAAGTATAGAAACAAGAAGTCCAAAAGAATAAAGCTTTTGATTTCCGAGCCTAGCACAAGCAAAGCAGCAACTCACACATCTCCTAATTTTTGTAACAAAGATGTTCCCGAAATTGATGAATCAGTTGAAAATTCATTGAAAGCTTCCTTACTAAGAGAATGTAATGATTGGGGATCGATCTGCGAAAAATGGAAAAGATCTTTTAACATACGGCAAAGAGATATAAAAAATTTAAGTAGCCATACATTTCTCCTTGAATGGACGAAGTTGTCCGATGCAAGAGCTTCAGAATTGGTAAGTAGCCATGAGCTATTTATTTGTATATGGATACTAATGTTTCGTTTTAGGTCAACATTGATTTCGATATTATGTATCCACAGAAAGGCAATCTTCTACTTTCTAAATGGGACCAATTTAAGAAAAAAATTTACAATTATTATGGGAAAAATATTCATAACGAACATTGCAAACAACTCTTCGCAAATGTTTTGACGGCAAGCAGCATAGGTAAATTTTAATTCCTGATTTATCATAAACATTAAAAGTAATATTTATTTTATATTTCGGTTGCAGATGCTCAAGATTATATATACGCAATACTGTTGAATTCAGTTTTACCATCACCTGCTAGGTTTAAATGTGGAAACGGTAAATTACGAAAAAAAGTAACAATAGCTGATTCGCAGGAAAGTTTCGTACTGCGACTACCGACAATTAACGATTATAAAAGGCAAATTGATACAGTCACTGAAAAGTATTACAATGCTGGATTAACTATACAGCCATTTATAATTGTGGAGGGTTTGTCCGATTTCAATATAAAAGGTTTTTATGTTTTTTTTAACCACAATTTGTTAAAATTTCAATCGTTCCTCGAATGTTTAGATACATGTTTTAAAATTTTTCATGCACTTTCTTTAAAATATCCAAATGCCTGCCAAATTCCATGGATTTTTATCCAAAAATATTTTTATGAAATTAATACTGTATATGATATAAAATCAGTTAATTTGACTTCACTTATTAATTTCTGCAACAATAATTAAAGTACAATTCAAAATGTATATTTGCTTTCGTTGCCGTAAGCATTTTGATAAGGCAAATCTTTTAATAGCTCATTTGAAAACAGACCATTTAATGTCCACTAAATTTTTAAAAGTACAATGCGTTCAGGACAACTGTAAGCAAACATTTACAAAATTTACGTCATTCAGAATTCATTTAGAAAAACTTCACAAGAATCACACAAAAGCTCCACCAATGGTTAAAGCCATTAATGTGCCAGTTGAAATGTCATCATCAAAAGAAAATGATTATACAAACAGTGAAACTGTTATTAACAACAATACAATAGAAAAGGATTTAAATGTTTTGAAAAAGAAAACCTTATATCTGTCTTTACAATTACATGGTCAAAGCTATATGCCTAGAAATCATGTTATAGAAATACAACATTCTGTTTCAATTCTGCTTTCATCCATTTCATGTACAATTGAAAAATATATAACTGATCATCCAAATTATGAAGACTTAAGGTACTTACTAAACTTTTGTAAAAATCCTTTCGAAGAAACTAGAACGGAATATAGACTTTTAAAAATTTTAAAAGAACTAAACTTTTATGATGATCCAAAGGTTTATGTAATTAGCAATCAAGTCTCGGAAATTGTTATCAGCGGAAATCCCAGTTTAGGTCCAAAGTTATCCAATATTTATATAATGCCACTGAAATTCATGATAAGTGCCCTTTTTAAAATTCCAAATCTCTTAGATTTGACATTAGAAAACTCCAAAAAATTCCTAAATTCACCTGTTTTACAAAATTTTACAAACGGTGAGTTATATAAAACTAAATTATTAAAATATCAGTACAATTTAGTTATTCCCTATGTCCTTTACATGGATGATTTTCAAATTAATAATCCTCTTGGAACCCATACATTTTCCATATGTGGTTGTTATATTAGCTTTCCTTCAATGCCACAGCACTTGTTGTCAAAACTTGATTATATATTAACTGCTGCGTTTATACCATCAAAGGATTTAAAAGAACGTGGAAATGAAGTTTCATTTCACAATCTTGTAGAAGAGTTAAAAATTCTAGAAGAAGGGGTTGAAATTTGTGTTCAACAAAGTGTTCAGAAGGTGCATTTTATTTTAGGTGTAATTATTGGAGATAATTTAGCAGTTAATAGTATTTTAGGCTACGTGCAATCATTTAACTCTAAAAGATTTTGCCGGGTATGTAGAAGAAAAAAGTCCCAAATGCAATTCGACGCAATTCAGCATTTAGATAGTTTAAGAAACCAAGAGAATTACAACTCAAATGTATTGGAAAATAATTTTCAAGAAACAGGTATTAAAAACAAGTGTATCTTCGAATCTTTACCAAATTTTAACGTCACTGAAAATTTTTGTTTTGATATTATGCATGACATTTTCGAGGGCATATGTGTCTACGATATGTCTAATGTAATTCTCGGGCTGATTCAAGAAAATATTGTTACGTTAGATTGTATTAACAGCAGAAAATCTTTATTCCAATTTGGAGAAATTGAAGTGGGAAATAAATCTGGACCACTAGATTTATGTAGATTGAAAAACTATAACTTAAAAATGACAGCTAGTGAAACTATGTGTTTTACTAATTTTTTACCTTTAATGGTAGGCGATTTAATTCCTTTCTCCAACGATCACTGGAAAGTTTTTATAATATTATTACAAATAATCGATTTACTTTTAAGACCAAGTTATATAGAAGACGATTTAATAAAATTGGAAGAATTAATTAGAGATCACCATTCACTTTATATAACATTATACGGTTCGTTAAAACCGAAACACCACTTTCTTGTCCACTATCCCACAGCTATCCGAAAATGTGGTCCCCTTAAATATCTCTGGAGCATGAGATTCGAAGCTAAACACAAGGAAGCAAAAGCCTATTTAGGAAATACTACATCAAGAGTAAATCCCTGTCGTTCATTATCTATTAAGTCTGGATTGAAATTTTCCAATTTTTTATTAAAACACGAAGATAACTTAGAACCAAATGTTATCATTAATACGCATACCATCGAAGATTTGGCAAAAGAGGAATATTGTTACAAAAAAAGTAAGCCAGTTTTAAATTACCAAAATTGCAAAGTGTCTGATGACATTTTTTTTAAGGGAACTAGGTATAAAAAAAACTATTATTTAGCAACAAATAATGCCGCAATTGAACTTTTCAAAATTAAACATTTAATAATTGAAAATGAAAATGTTTACATTTTATGTAACCAAGTAAAAGTTAAAAACTTTGATTACCATTTACAATCGTATGAAGTTGGTTCTCTGAATGAGGATACAATTTTTTTAATACCAATTTTAGATTTTATTACTTACCCATTTCACTTATATCCTATGAATAATGGAAAAGTTTATTTCAGATTTAAGTTAATTTAATTTGTTTCTATACATTGAATATATGTAATTCGAATTGTTTTGTTAAATCAAATATGTATTTATATTGAATTTATGTAATTGGTTTCGTTCAATAAAATACTTTTCAAAAAATGTCGTTTCTTCTACTAAGGGTATAAAATGGAAAAGGAACGGATATCAAAAAATGACCACCATTGATTTCAATCTGACAACGGGCGTTGACAATCCGACAACGGAGCGTTGACAATCTGACAACGAAGCGTTGACGATCTGACAACGAAGCGTTGACAATCTGACAACGGGGCGTGCTCGAAATGACCACGTATGTGCTCATTTCATGCACATCTGTTGTTGAAATCGTTGCCAAAATCTCGGTGTCAAAATGACAACAGCGTGCTCATTTTGACACCAAACGTGGTTGATACACTATCATACACGGATGTGGTCATTTCATACACGGATGTTGTCATTTTTTCTCTGGGTGTAATGGCTTATGACAAACAAAGCCCATGTAGGTCCACATCGAATTGACCACAAAATAACGGCTGTATTCGGTATTTTTAAGATTTTAACAGAATTTTTAACGGATTTTATTTTTTGAAAATGTCCAAATTCGTTCCAAATGGTGGAGGGTATTCAAAGTTCGGCTCGGCCGAACTTACAGCTTTTTAACTTGTCTGGTACTAAAAGTGCATTCCAAAAAAAAAAAAAAAATATTTTATTCTCAAGAAGGCAATACCTGTATTTAGTACCGAGAATAGAGATTCGAAACCAACAAAACAAGCAAAACAAAAAATTTGATTTTCAATCAAAATTTTCAAAAAATTATCTAAAAATGTACCATTCCAGGTGGGGTGTAAGCCCCGTTATACCATCACCAATGGCATAATATTTATTGCTTTGAAATACATTTAAGGTTCTACTTCCTTCTTTATCCTTTCGCCCATTTAGTACTTTTCGTACAATTATAGTACACATTTCCGAGACCATCTCCATATGTCCAGGCTTCACATGAAATGCGACCGTAATACAAAATTTCAGACTTTAAGCACTATCTGTTCACCCAATACCAAATTATACCAAATATAGTAATATTTAATACTTTTTGTGCACTTGTGGTACACACTGCCAAAACCACCTCTTTATCACCCCAATACAAAATTTCAAAATTCCAGCTTTATCGGTTCACCCTAAACCAAGCTGTTCCAAATTTAGTACCATTCAGTACAGTTCATACACTTAGTACAGATTTGCAAAACCAGATTCAAATATAAACTTCCTACCAAATTTCAAGATTTTAGCTCTATCTGTTGACATAATACTAAATGTTACCATTTTAGAAGTTAAGTACCATTTTAGAACCCTTAGTAACATTGAAGTTCGAATTTCCAAAAAGGCTTTGATACATGTGCCCTGCATTCCATCAGTGACTCTCATTCCAAATTCTAGCTCATTTCGTTTGTCCAATACAAATTCTTCAATATTTAGTACATTTTAGTACTTTTCGTATCCTTTTATTAGGAATTTCCGAAAACCAGGGTTATCACAGCCTACGCACCAAAACTGACCATCCTGCAAAATTTCAAGATTCTAGTTTCAAGCGCAGTCTGTCAGTTATGAGTCAAAGAAGTATTAAAAATTGTAACCCTTTGTGGGAGAGGTACTAGAAGCGGTCGGTCGATATTTATCCTCTTCACAACAGATCTTGTGTAGGAAGAAATTTTGTAGGTGAAATTTAAAAAATATCGGATGCTTTTTTTTCGCATTTTATGTGATATGAGATTTAAACAAGTAAAAAAGCTGTAATTTCGGCCGGGCCGAACTTTGAATACAATCCACCATTTGGAACGATTTTAGCAATTCTCAAAAAAAATAAAATCCGTTAAAAATTCTTTTAAAATCTTAAAAATAGCGAATGTTGCTATTATAATAGGACATGAACCTGCGTAGGTAACATTTGTCGTAAGCCATTACAATATTCAAATGCAAAACTTAAAAAAATCGGTTACAATGTCGATAAAATAAAAATACCGAATATCGGGTGGTACCGTTATATGGGGGCTATACGAAGACATGGACCTGCACAGACAATTTTCTGTCATATTCAATAGTATCCATTAAGAACTTCAAATACCAAATTTGAAACAATTCTGGTGAAAAATGTCCATAAAATCATTAAAATACTGAATATCGGGAGGAACCGTTATATGGGGGCTCTACGAAGAAGTGGACCTACAGAGACAATTTTCTGTCTTAGGCTGTAGTATCAATTATGAATTTCAAATACAACTACCAATTTGAAACAATTCCGGTGAATAAATACGCTAAAATCATTAAAATACCGAATATCGGGAGGTACCGTTATATGGGGCCTATACCAAAACGTTGACCTACATGGCCCATTTTCAATACCAAAAGTCCTGCAGACATAACATACTTTTGAGCAAAATTTGATCAATCTACTTCAATTCGTTCGGAAGCTAGAGTGATTTCCACAGACGGACAGATGGATAGGCGGATCTCTAAATCGACGTAGAATTTTATGCTGATCAAGAATATATATACTTTGTGGGGTCTAAAGTGTGTATTTCGAAGTATTGCATACGGAATGACAAACTTAATATACCCTCCATACTATGGTGGAGGGTATAAAAAATTTACCCGTTGTGGGGGAGGTACCGGAAGGAGTGGTCCGTTCTAGTGGACCTTCGTACTAGATTTTGAGTTCATAAAAATATTCAGGCATGCGAAATTTTCACTCTTATTTCACATTTTGTAAGGGTAATAACTATTCAAAATGCTGACCCTGTGTGGGAGAGGATGATGTATTGATAAAAATATTGGGATTTGCAAATCCCACAAAAACAGATGATTTTTCCTAGTTCTATAAGGTAAATTATTTTCTGTAAGAATTTTGACTCATTGTAGACGAGGT